GATGAATGATTAAGTAAAAAAAAAAAAATTAAAGAAAAAAAGATTGCGATTAATTATTTCATAATTACTAAATTATTATAAATTATTATAATTTAATATCGATGAATGATTAAGTAAAAAAAAAAAAACAAAAAATTAAAGAAAAAAAGATTGCGACTAATTATTTAATAATTATTAAATTATTATGAATTATTATACATTAATTGAAAAGAAATTTTTTTTTTTACTGTATAATAATTAACAATAATTGATTTAATTTATAATAATAATTGATAATTATTAATAACAAATGAATGAAGAAAAAAAATTGAGAAGAACAAGATTAGTTTAAAAAAATGTATATTAACGTTGCAAGATCAATTAATATGATTTATTTATTATCAATTAATATGATTAATTAATATGATTGACATTATTAAGAAAGAGTTAGTGATTCAAAAAAAAAAAAAAAAAAAAAAACAATGTGCAATTAATTATTAATTAATATAAAATAAATAATGGATTTATCAAGAAAATTAAATTTCATGATAAATTCTTATATGGATTACCGTGAACGAGAAAATGTTATCTAAAAACAAAAGAAAAAAAAAAAAAAAAAAGATAATGAAAAATGAAAAATGAAAAATGAAAAAAAAAGATATGGAGACAATTAATAATGAAAGAAAGAAAAAATGGAAAGAAAAAGAAAAAAAAGAAAAAAAAAATAAAGAGAAAAATTGGTTGGCCGTGAAAAATATCGATTAGATTAAAAAAATGTATATTAACGTTGCCAGATCAATGAATATAATTTATTTATTATCGATTAATATAATTGACATTGTTAAAAAAGAATTAGTGAATAAAAAAAGAAGATGTGCAATCGATTAATGCGAAATAAATTAATTATTACGTATAATGCCATTATCAAGGAAATTAAATTTCACGAAAAATTTTTATGGATTAACTTGATCAAGAAAATGTTACCTAAAAAAAAAAAAAAAAGAAAGAGAAATTAATAGAAAATGAAAAAAAAAAGAATGGACATAATTAATAATGAAGGAAAAAAAGAGAGAGAGAAAAAAGAATAAAGAGAACAATCGGCTGGTCGTGAGTAATATTAATTAGAGTAAAAAAAAATAGGTAAAAATATTAATCTTGACAAATCAATGAATTCATTATCATTCAATATAATTGATATTTTAAAGAAAGTATTATTGAAAAATAAAATTAAATTTCACGAGATAAATTCACGAGATATATTAAGATATATTATTTTGAACGAGAAAGTGTTACATAAAAAAAAAAAAAAAAATAAAAAGAAAAGAAGAAGAAGAAGAAGAAGAAGAAGAAGAAGAAGAAGAAGAAGAAGAAGAAGAAGAAGAAGAAGAAGAGAAGAAATTAATAAAAAATGAGAAAAAGAAAAAAGAAAAAAAGAAAAAATATTGAAATAATTAATAAAGAATGAAGGGAAAGGAAATGAAGAGAAAAATTGATTTATTCGTGAAAAATGTCGATAAGATGTAAAAAAAAAAAAAAAAAAAAAAAAAAAAAAAAAAAAAAAAAAAAAAAAAAAAAAAAAAACCAAACGAAATAATAATAATATTAATAAAAAAAAAAAAAAAAAAAAAAAAGAAAGAAAAAAGAAAAAGCAAAAAACTGTATATTAAATTAACGAGGTCGATGGTTATTATTTATCAGAACGTTGCACATTGAATGCCGCCGAGTTGTTGAAATAATCGGCGATATTTCATCGTGGTGCCGTCGTGTATCATAAATCTTTTAGGGGGTATGGTGGTTCTCGCTCGATTGTTGCTGGCAATGTAAACTCGAACGTAGATACTCGGCTTGTAAACAATAACAAAACGTGGGCGATGAAACAACCTTTTGCTTGTGAAAGTGATCAGTCACTGCTCAACTTTCGAAGAAGCTTTACCTCTTCCAGACTCTCTCTCTCTCTCTCTCTCTCTCTCTCTCTCTCTCTCTCTCTCTCTCTCTCTCTCTGTCTCTGTCTCTCTGTCTCTCTCCCTCCCTCCCTCCCTCCCACCCTCCCTCTCCCCCTCTCTCTATCCACAGTTTCGTTTACATAATATATAATATATAATATATAATACATATATATTATACATAATATACATATGTATTATATATTATATATATATATATATATTAATATAAACTTATTATAATAATATGTATACGTTTAATACTTATATACTAGGTTGGAAACTATGAAACGGGCGTTGAATGAAAATAAATAACTAAACAAAAACGCCCGTTTCATAGTTTCCAACCTAATATATGTATTATATATATATATATATATATATATATATATATATATATGTATATATGTATATGTATTAATATAAACTTATTATAATATCTTCTTGACAAAGTTACGACGTCGTATTATATTAACTCGACAAATTGTTAAGAAACATGATATGAATCGTTGATTTTGAAAATGGGACAAATCCATTTTGTATTATTGCTTGGATATTTAATGATATGGATTTTTAATTTGGTTTAAAAAATATTGATAAGCAGTAATAAAAGTTATTTTGTAAGTTTTTGTTCTTTTTTTGTTTTTTTTTTTTTCTTTTTTTTTGTGATCTTATTTCATGTAAATTGTGTATATTTCATTATTTCATGTAATCCGTGTTAGATCAATAAAAAAAAAAAAAAAAAATATAGAAAAAAGAAAGAAAAAATCATAATTTGGCGATGTGTATATGCGCCAATGTACTTTTGTCTCACATTCAAAATAAACTCGTCGATAAATATCGTCGTTGAATTAAATTATTAATAACAAATTTGTAACGATATTTAAAAGATATTTATTGTATATTAATTTTGAAAAACATTAAAAATTTTATATTAATCTGTAATAAGAATTAGCTTTAACTATTTTATACTTTTTTTTTCTCCTTCTTTTTCTTCTTTTTTTTTTCTCTCTCTTTTTTTCACATAATAGACTTGCGCCTCTATTTTCAAAATCAACAGCTCTTTTATTCTACGAATTTGTTGTTACTTTTTTTTTTTTTTTTTTTTTTTAATAATTATATAAAATATATTATATAGATATAGATATATATAAGTAATGCTAAAGCGTATATAATGTTATAATTAATATTTTACATATTCGATAATAATAATAATAATAATAATAATAATAATAATAATAATAATAAAATTAGTTAACACGTTCCGTGCTAAGGGATTTTTGCCTGACTTGTCATTTAGGCCATTTGATATTTTGATTAAAGAAAAAAAATGACTGCATGTGCCACCGGTGGTACACGCGTACTAGAAGATCAAGTTTAACGTGTACCACCTGTGGTACACATGGCACGGAACGTATTAAAGAAACTTATTACAATTTTTCTCCAATTCTAATTGTAATCTATTGAATTGAACGATTGTTTTATTAACGTTTGTTTCTCTTTTTTTTTCTGTTTTCAGATAATTGGAAAAAGGAAAAAGGGACGAATCGACAATGAAACATACGTCGATAATGTCCAACGGCATTCTATTAAGGGTATGTCTCTTTGGTCTACTTATCGTTTCGAGTTTGGCTGCTACTTCAAGGTCACGTGGTAAAAAGAAGGTCGCCAAAGAGACCAAGGAAATTAACATATGTGATATCGAGGGTCGACAAGCGCCAGTTTATTGTTACTGCGACAATAATGGATTAAGGAATGCAACCGATGCTAATTGTTTGGTATTAAATAGATTCAAGGTCGACGATCCAATGTGGTCCTATTTCATATCGCAAATATATCTAACGAAATTAGCCCTGACAGTACGTGCATCCGGTACATTGGATTACATACCAACCGATGTTCTAAGACAATTGAAAAATTTAAAGATCGTTACGTTTCAATACGCCAAAATCGAGGAATTAGGTGAACGTTCATTCTCAAATCTATCGTCGATCACCGACATCAATCTAAGCAGAAACATGATCGTCGTATTGAAGAAGTATGCATTTGAAAATATCAAGGAATTGAACGTTGTCAATTTGGACGACAACAGAATAGCTGAGATTAATAGGTGAGTTGTATTTTTATTACGTTTTCTGTATATCTTTTTCTTTTTTTTTTTTTCTTTCTATCTATCGATTTTCGATTATTATTAACCAGCGTAGTATGAAACTATCGAATTCCTCTTTTTTTTTTTTTTTTTTCTTTTTCTTTTTCTTTATGAATGTAATTTTTTTTTCTTATACATTTATATTATTTATTCTTTTATTGTTTATTTTTGTTTAATTTTATGTTTGTATTATATACTTGTTTATTACATCTTTATTTGTTATTATTATTTTTTTGATATACATTACATATTTCTTTCTTATATATATATATATATATTTGTATATGTATTTTATACATATATTATTATTATTATATATATATATATATATATATATATATATATAAATATATATAAAGAAAAAGAATATAATATATATTAAAAAAATAATAATAATAAATAAATAAATACGTCATAAATATATAATATAAACATAAAATTAAAAAAATAACAATAACAGAATAAATAATATTAATATATAATAAAAATAAAAAATAATAATAAAAGAATAAATAATATAAATATGTAACAAATAAATATAATATATATTATTATATATATTATAATTATATATATATATGTATATTATTATTATTAAATATATATATATATTATTATTATATATATATAATATAATTATTATATATATATATATATATATATATATATATTAATAATAATATTTTCTTATATGTATTTTAAAACAAATCCATTTTTAATATACGCTCGATGAATAATTTAACGATGAATTTGCGCATAATCGGAGTTCCGATATTATACGTTATTAAATGATTTAATGGATTAGAAAATTAATGAATTTTAATCGATTTGACATACGTTTAATATCGTTGTCATAGGCCACCGGTGGTCCACGTCGGATTTTCAAATTTAAGTCGTTGTATTATAGTTATCATTGTTATTATTATTATTATTATTATTATTATTATTATGATTATTATTATTATTATTATTATTATTATTATTATTATTATTATAAATTATTTATTTATTTATTTATTTATTTGTCTTTTTCTGCTTCTGCAATATGTTAACTGAAGCATTATGAATTTAATGCTGCCCTAATGTAACCAGCCGTTGCCAATAATTATCATATATAATGCAATTTTTTTTTTTTTTCTTTTTATTATCGGAGAAATTTTTTTTGCGATGTAAACAACAACAACAAAAAGAAAAAAGAAAGAAAAAAAAAATTCTCACAAAAGTCTAAATGTCTCGAAAAAAGAAGACATTGATTTACTTTAACATTGATCTACGAGTGTCGTGACGAAAATTAAGAAAAGAAAAAAGAAAAGAAAAGAAAAGAAAGAAAAATAAAGAAAGAAAAAGAAAAAGAAAAGAAAAGAAAAGAAAAATGTTCCTCGAAAATTATTCGCTTAGAACGATTAATATTCATTCGAACTGTTCTTTAGAAAAATCGAATATTCAATCGTTAATATTAATGAAACCATCAGGAGACAAATGACCGACGAGATTGACAATAAAAAGAATAAAAAAAAAAAGAAAGAAAGAAAGAAAGAAGGATAGGAAAGACACCAAAAAGAAAAAGAAAAAAAAAGAAAAAAAAAAGAAAAAGGAAAGAAAAAACAAGGATAAAAGAAAAAATCCTTACGATGATTACTCACTTAGAACAATTAATATTCATTTGCTGCTCTTTCTGAAAGAGAAAAATGAAATGAAAAAGAGTGAGAGAGAGAGAGAGAGAGAGAGAGAGAGAGAGATCAAAACAAAAAAGAAAAACAAGGAAGTTAAATCGTTAATATTAATGAACCATCGTGAGACAGGTACGACCCAACAAGAGAGACAGAGAGAGAGAGAGAGAGAGAGAGAGAGATCGATGACTATGTCAACGAGTTAAGGAAACTTTTATTCCCATCAATTTTTCACCGAGTGACGATGTCTCGATTCGCGACCCTTGTTCACAAGCACGTCACTATCCCTTTGCAACACCATCACCATCTCCCTTCACTATTCTCTCCATCTCTCTCTACCCTTTTTTATCTTCTTCATTTTTTTCTATATATATATATTTTTTTTTTTTTTTTTTTTTTTTTTTTTAATAAAGAAGACTGATCAGTCTTTTCCGTAGGGAAAACAAATGAAAGCACGAATCCCTTAAGCCCTTGAGTGCTGCTCTTCGGAAATTGTGTGTCACCCTAGGGGTGTAAAAAATACGTGGCTCCTCTCGTTTCGTGCGAACCACTGCTAGCAATGAATAACTAACTCCTGTATCATGCATACATACATACATACATACATACATACATACATACATACATACATACATACATACATACACATACATGTGTGTGTTTGAGTGTGTGTATGTGTGTGTGTACATATATTGCATATGTACGAGGAAGTACCACCTATCATCAAATACATTCATGCTTACGTATTCATCTACATACATAGGACTTTTATCGAGAGTTTTAAAATGACTTCGCGCATATATTTCATACATTTCTGTTTACCATATTAACGACAGAACCTTTTAACGTTTTATTTATCCTTTTTTTTTCTTTTTTCTCCTTTGCTCTTTCCTTTTTCCTTTTTTCGTTTTTTTCTTTCTTTTTTGTCTTTTCTTCTTCTTTTTTGTACATCCTCAATATCTCCACTACTCTTGTCATAAATTTATTTCTATCTATAATATTTCTGTTCTCTCTCTCTCTCTCTCTCTCTCTCTTTCTGTTTTTTTGTTTCTGTCTCTCTCTCTCTCTCTCTCTCTCTCTTTTTTGTTTATATTTCTTTTCTTTTCGTTCTTTTCCTTTTTCTATTTTATTTCGTATAGAAATTATATACGTATGATAGAAATGTATGATAGAGAGAATGTAAGATTTTGATTTAATAATATTTTTGAAAGTTAAGAGAGTCACGACATTAAAACACTTACGTATATTTAATTTATTTAATTTATAAATATTTTGATGATATTATAATTTTTATTGAAAATAATTTTTCGATTGGCTATACTGCCTTAGAAATATCTACGCTCTATTTATATATGTATATATGTATATATATATGTTTTTTTTTTTTTTTTTTTTTAATATTTTCTCTTTTTTATTATTATATAATATATACATTTTATAAATATATATATATATATATATATATATATATATTATACATAAAATATAAAATAAAATATAAAATATATCTATGGAGTTAAAATTTTCTTTTCTATGTGTCGTAATATTCGTGGCGATTAATTATTTATAAATATTTAATATTGAATAATTTTTCTTTTTTTCTTTTTTTTTTTTTAATGTATACGAGTTAAATTTAAGAGTTAAATTTACGTTGTGTCATCTGCTGTCTCTCTTTCTCTCTTTCTCTCTCTCTCTCTCTCTCTCTCTCTCTCTCTCTCTCTCTCTCTCTCTCTCTCTCTCTCTCTCTCTCTTTTGTAATTAATACGTTGAGGTCTTTGTAATATCTTTTGTATAAAACAGCGACGACATTCATGACATGGCTGCTTTCCATTTTGATAAAAATTTACCGGATGATGAAGAAGAACGAATTAAAAGATACGTCTTTTTTTTTCCTTCTTTTTTTTTCTTCTTATCTCTGTCATAATTCGTTTTTCTTTTTACGAGGGTAAAAAGCACCCCTGTGGTTTTGACGCTTTTCCTTCTTTTTTTCCTTTTCATTTTCTTTCGTTTTGTTCTTTTCTTTTTTTTTATTTTTTTTTTTATTTTTTTTTAATATCTCTAACTAATGGAAAAGAGAGAGAAATAATAAATTGCAAAATTTTGACGATTTCTCATAACCAACGAAATAGTGGAACAATTGAATGTTTCGAAAAACGCGTAATTTTTTTTTTTTTTTTTTTTTTTTTTTTTTTTTTACTAATTCGTATATTTCAATTAAAATATAAAAAGAAAAGAAACTGATCATTTTTCGATCATTATATCGTATCAAAATTACATTCAATTTTAAGTTTCATTATTAGTACTTTTTTTTTTTCTTTTTTTTTTTTTTTTTTTTTTTTTATAAATAATATTGAGTGGCATTGAGATCATTAGAAAGATAAAAGAAAAGGAAAAAGAAAAAGAAAAAAGAAGAAAGAAAGAAAGAAAATAAAACACGATTCCATTTAAAGAAACAAAGTTGATCTTTGCATGACCTTTAACACCTGCATCTTTGGGGGGGGAGGGGGGAAAGGAAAAGAAGATATAATAATAACAATAAACGATATCGGAAAATATCACGATGAGTAGAGCCTGTCTCCTTTTCGTCGAGATCACCATTATACTTTTATTGATATTATTTTTCACTTGAAAATCATTAATACAAAATTAATCGTAATTATTAATTCTCAATTACGTTACGTTACGTACGTATATTCAATTCTTCAAACTTGTATACTCGACAAGTAACATACATTAAAAATTGACAATGAGTCGAAGAACAATTGTTATTATTTTACAATTGCTTATATTACATAGACGAGTAAAGTATAAAGGTAGATAGATAGAGAGAGAGAGAGAGAGAGAGAGAGAGAGGGAGAGAGAGAGAGATCGAAAGAAAGAGAGAGAGAGAGAGAGAGAGAGAGATAGATAGAGAGATAGAAGGCAAATAAGTATACATAGAGTCGATTAAAATCGTGCGATATATATTCCTCAATACTCACCATCCATCATCATACTTTTCAATCGATTCGATATCATACGCCATTTTTATCCTTTTATCAAGTGCGACGTTAAAAAAAAAAAAAACAAAAAAAAAGGGGGGGGAGGGAGGAGATGAGAAAAGAAGATCGAGAGGTGGTGAGAGAAGAACAGCGTACGGATTCAAAAATTGACGAGAGAGGATAATACAAACGTGTCATCGTGCATGATGAAACCAAAACATGATTCCCGACGTTAAAATAAGGATGAGAAAGCGAGAGACAGAGAGAAAGACAGACAGACAGACAGACAGATAGAGAGAGAGAGAGAGAGAGAGAGAGAGAGAGAGACGAACCTTTTCACATACTTTTTCACATACTAATACACACAAACATTTTTCTTCCTTTTTAACAGATACAACGTGTACGTTTAAATTATCTACATTCACTATTCTTTTTTCTCACTCTTTCTTTCTTTTTCTTTATCTTTTTATTTATACCTTTCTATCTTTCTCTTTATCTGTACCTTTCTTTCTCTCTCTCTCTCTCTCTCTCTCTCTCTCTCATTCTCATTTTAATTTCTATTCTGTCGCTCTATCTTAATCTATTCTATATTTTTCTCTATTTCTTTCTTTTTCTATCTTTTTTCTTTTGTCATCCTCATTCTGATTCTCTTTCTCTTTATTTTTATCTAATTTATATCTTTCTCTCATTTCTTCTCCCCCTCCCCGCAACCGCCCCACATCCCATTCTACCCTTCTATCTCTTTCTCCCCTTTTCCTTTCTTCCCTTTGTCCCTTTCTTATCCTAATTCTCATTCTGTTTATTTTTATTTAATTTATATATTTCTCTCTTATTACTTCTCCCTTTCTCTCTCTCTCTCTCTCTCTCTCTCTCTCTCTCTCTCTCTCTTATTCTAATTCTTATTCAATCCGTCTATCTTTATCCAATCTATACCTTATCTCTCTCTCTCTCTCTCTCTCTCTCTCTCTCTCTCTCTATCTTGCTCTCTCGTTTCATCTCTCTTTCTCTGTCTCTCTCTCTATCTTGCTCTCTCGTTTTATCTCTATCTCTCTCGTTCTATCTCTTTCACCCTCCTGTCTATAGATAGTATAGGTAGATGTGTTCGTATTTCACAATGACGTCTTTTCGATTACATCGAAGCGTAGATGCCTACGGCTCCACGTAATATCTGACGAGGATGTCTCTGCACCGTTTCCAAGTCGTAAATATTCAGATGCAATACTTCGACGGGAAGGTTAAATATGCAGGCTTGAAAACTATACTATCTCTCTTCCTCTT